GCTACCATGGATGATGGTAATTCCTTGTCAGACACCACAGCTCAGGTACCATGGGCATACCCATAGTGTACAGGGCTGGGTAATTATTCAATAGCCAGAGAAGTCGTTTATACAGGGCTTTCTGTAAACAACCTCACAAGCGATGTCGTCATAAATGGAACTAAAATAATCAGCTGCTAACTGCATGTAAGAAATCTTTCACAAAGAGCTTTGTGGTCACGACATTCACAGTATTGAAAGATGGAACTGGGAATAAATGTAGTTCATAGGTGAAATCGCAGTTCTGGAGTATGTACACAGAACCTTTACTGTACATATAATATCCATCAAACACCTTAATTGCTGGGAGTCACTTGACCTGTATTCACTGGAATACTGGCGAGAGAGATACATTATAATCTACACCTGATAAATTCTAGTGGGACTTTTTTCAAATCTGTTCACAGAAATCACTCCCTACGAAAGGAAAACACTTGACAGACGGTGAAACATACCCCAAATGAAAAGTAGGGGCACCATTAGTACGCTTTTAGAGAAAACACAGTAAGTATCCAGGGCCCAAGACTGTTCAACATCCTCCTACCAACCGTAAGGGGAATTACCAATAAACCTCTGGCTGCCTTCAAAAGGGACCTGGACAGATATCTAAGGTCAGTAACAGCCTAGTTGATCAGACCCTGATCTACCGGGAAGCCTGGTCAAGGACCGGTCCGAGGGGGCGTTGTCCCCCGGAACACCCTCCACGTAAACTGCAGGTAGACTTCAGGTAGACTCCAGGTAGACTCCAAGTAAACTCCAGGTAAACTCCAGGTAGACTCCAGGTAGACTCCAGGTAGACTCCAGGTAAACTCCAGGTAAACTCCAGGTAGACTCCAGGTAGACTCCAGGTAAACTCCAGGTAGACTCCAGGTAGACTCCAGGTAAACTGCAGGTAGACTCCAGGTAGACTCCAGGTAAACTGCAGGTAGGCTCCAGGTAGACTCCAGGTAGACTCCAGGTAAACTCCAGGTAGACTCCAGGTAGACTCCAGGTAAACTTCAGGTAGACTCCAGGTAGACTCCAGGTAAACTCCAGGTAGACTCCAGGTAGACTCCAGGTAAACTCCAGGTAAACTCCAGGTAGACTCCAGGTAGACTCCAGGTAGACTCCAGGTAAACTCCAGGTAGACTCCAGGTAGACTCCAGGTAAACTTCCAGGTAGACTCCAGTAGACTCCAGTATAAACTCCAGGTAAACTCCAGGTAGACTCCAGGTAAACTCCAGGTAAACTCCAGGTAAACTCCAGGTAGACTCCAGGTAAACCCCAGGTAGGCTCCAGGTAAACTCCAGGTAGATTCCAGGTAAACTGCAGGTAGACTCCAAGTAGACTCCAGGTAAACTGCAGGTAGACTCCAGGTAGACTCCAGGTAAACTCCAGGTAAACTCCAGGTAGACTCCAGGTAAACTCCAGGTAAACTCCAGGTAGACTCCAGGTAGACTCCAGGTAGACTCCAGGTAAACTCCAGGTACACTCCAGGTAGACTCCAGGTAAACTCCAGGTAGACTCCAGGTAGACTCCAGGTAAACTCCAGGTAAACTCCAGGTAGACTCCAGGTAAACTCCAGGTAAACTCAAGGTAAACTCCAGGTAGACTCCAGGTAAACCCCAGGTAGACTCCAGGTAAACTCCAGGTAGATTCCAGGTAAACTGCAGGTAGACTCCAAGAAGACTCCAGGTAAACTGCAGGTAGACTCCAGGTAGACTCCAGGTAAACTCCAGGTAAACTCCAGGTATAGACTCCAGGTAGACTCTAGGTAGACTCCAGGTAAACTGCAGGTAGACTCCAGGTAGACTCCAGGTAGACTCCAGGTAAACTGCAGGTAGACTCCAGGTAGACTCCAGGTAAACTCCAGGTAAACTCCAGGTAGACTCCAGGTAGACTCCAGGTAAACTCCAGGTAGACTCCAGGTAAACTCCAGGTAAACTCCAGGTAAACTGCAGGTAGACTCCAGGTAGACTCCAGGTAGACTCCAGGTAGACTCCAGGTAAACTTCAGGTAAACTCCAGGTAGACTCCAGGTAGACTCCAGGTAGACTCCAGGTAAACTCCACGTAAACTCCAGGTAAACTCCAGGTAGACTCTAGGTAGACTCCAGGTAGACTCCAGGTAAACTCCAGGTAAACTCCAGGTAGACTCCAAGTAGACTCCAGGTAGACTCCTAGTAGACTCCAGGTAGACTCCAGGTAAACTCCAGGTAAACTCCAGGTAAACTCCAGGTAGACTCCAGGTAGACTCCTAGTAGACTCCAGGTAGACTCCAGGTAAACTCCAGGTAAACTCCAGGTAGACTCCAGGTAAACTCCAGGTAAACTCCAGGTAAACTCCAGGTAAACTCCAGGTAAACTCCAGGTAAACTCCAGGTAAACTCCAGGTAAACTCCAGGTAAACTCCAGGTAAACATGGGGATAATTACATAAAGGTGTTACTCTTATCTTAAACTGTTGTATTTTTACCTCAGAAGGTTAAAATTAACTACAAAAATGATGAGGAAATGAAAATATGACGAGGAATGTGAACCAGAATATGCCACTGCTCGGTACTAGAATATGACACGGGGTCTGAATATGACACTGCTCGGTACTAGAATATGACACGGGGTCTGAAATATGACACTGCTCGGTACTAGAATATGACACGGGGTCTGAATATGACACTGCTCGGTACTAGAATATGACACGGGGTCTGAATATGACACTGCTCGGTACTAGAATATGACACGGGGTCTAAATATGACACTGCTCGGTACTAGAATATGACACGGGGTCTGAATATGACACTGCTCGGTACTAGCATATGACACGGGGTCTGAATATGACACTGCTCGGTACTAGAATAGACACGGGTCTAAATATGATACTGCTCGGTACTAGAATATGACACGGGGTCTGAATATGATACTGCTCGGTACTAGAATATGACACGGGGTCTGAATATGACACTGCTCGGTACTAGAATATGACACGGGGTCTAAATATGATACTGCTCGGTACTAGAATATGACACGGGGTCTGAATAGACACTGCTCGTACTAGAATATGACACGGGGTCTAAATATGAACTGCTCGGTACTAGAATAATGACACGCGGGTCTGAATATGACACTGCTCGGTACTAGAATATGACACGGGGTCTAAATATGATACTGCTCGGTACTAGAATATGACACGGGGTCTAAATATGACACTGCTCGGTACTAGAATATGACACGGGGTCTGAATATGACACTGCTCGGTACTAGCATATGACACGGGGTCTGAATATGACACTGCTTGGTACTAGAATATGACACGGGGTCTAAATATGGCACTGCTCGGTACTAGAATATGACACGGGGTCTAAATATGACACTGCTCGGTACTAGAATATGACACGGGGTCTGAATATGACACTGCTCGGTACTAGAATATGACACGGGGTCTGAATATGACACTGCTCGGTACTAGAATATGACACGGGGTCTGAATATGACACTGCTCGGTACTAGAATATGACACGGGGTCTGAATATGACACTGCTCGGTACTAGAATATGACACGGGGTCTAAATATGACACTGCTCGGTACTAGAATATGACACGGGGTCTGAATATGACACTGCTCGGTACTAGAATATGACACGGGTCTGAATATGACACTGCTCGGTACTAGAATAATGACACGGGGTCTGAATATGACACTGCTCGGTACTAGAATATGACACGCGGTCTAAATATGACACTGCTCGGTACTAGAATATGACACGGGGTCTAAATATGACACTGCTCGGTACTAGAATATGACACGGGGTCTGAATATGAAGATGGTTTGTACAAGAATATGACAGGAGTCTGAATATGACCATGGTCAGTAGCTTCACAAGAATTAACAATCTGATCATGGTTAACAATCTGATCATGGTTAACAATCTGATCATGGTTAACAATCTGATCATGGTTAACAATCTGATCATGGTTGACAATCTGATCATGGTTAACAATCTGATCATGGTTGACAATCTGATCATGGTTAACAATCTGATCATGGTTAACAATCTGATCATGGTTAACAATCTGATCATGGTTGACAATCTGATCATGGTTAACAATCTGATCATGGTTAACAATCTGATCATGGTTAACAATCTGATCATGGTTAACAATCTGATCATGGTTAACAATCTGATCATGGTTAACAATCTGATAAGAGTTAACAATCTGATCATGGTTAACAATCTGATCATGGTTAACAATCTGATAAGAGTTAACAATCTGATCATGGTTAACAATCTGATCATGGTTAACAATCTGATCAAGGTTAACAATCTGATAAGAGTTAACAATCTGATCATGGTTAACAATCTGATCATGGTTAACAATCTGATTATGGTTAACAATCTGATCGTGGTTAACAATCTGATCAATGTTAACAATCTGATAAAAGTTAACAATCTGATCAAGGTTAACAATCTGATAAGTGTTAACAATCTGATCAAGGTTAACAATCTGATAAGAGTTAACAGCTTGGGAAAAGTAATGATTTTTAAGGGTTAAAGATTTGACAATGTTTAACAACATAACATCAAGTAGTTAACAAAGATCAACTACTTGACGAAAGTAAACGATGGGAACAAAGTTAATGAAGGAACAAAGGATTAATGACATCACAAGGGTTAACGACGGGACGATAGTTAATGACGTGACAATGGTTAATAATCTGTCAACAGTTAATGACTTGGTAAATGTTAACAACGGTACAAGGGTTAAGGATACAACAAAGGTTAACAACGGGACAAAAGTTAACATAAGAGTATAAGTATGCGACAAGATTTAATGATGTAATAAGGGTTCAACGGCGCAGAGTTAACGGCATGATGAAAGTAACGTTGGGACGAGAGTTAACGATGTAACAAGCGGTTAACGAAGAGGCAACTATTAATGATATGACAAGGGATGGAACAACGAGCAGGTGACACGAGCAGAACCCACCTGTAGGCTGACACAAGGCGATGCAGAGGGTGACGAGCGATCATGAACGACACTACAGCTGGTCTCATCCTCAACACCCGCAGTAACTCTCCTTCACTTGGTCTGTATATATGTACAAGATAATTAATAGTAATAATCCTATATATATATATATATAATATATATATATATATATATATATATATATATATATATATATATATATATATATATATATATATATATATATATATGTCGTGCCGAATATGTAAAACTGGTCAATTAGCAAGAACTCATTTAAAATTATGTCTTTTGTAAAATTTTCTCTTATACGTTTAAAGATATATTTTTTTCATTAATGTTAATGTAAAAGTTTTTAATTTTGCACCAAAAGAATCTTAGAAAACTTACTTAACCTTATTATAACAAGAACAATTTATTTTAGCCTAACCTAACTAAATATATTTTAAATACGTTTACAGTAATTTAATACTAAACAAACAGAATGAAATATATTTTTTTCGTTAGGTTCAGAACGATTTCTGCGAAATTATTGCATACACAAATTTTTGCTTGTCCTATATGGCAAGATGAGCGTTGCTATTTAAGCCAAGATGGCAAGTTCTGCCTATTCGGCACGAAATTATATTATATATATATATATATATATATATATATATATATATATATATATATATATATATATATATATATATATATATAATATATATATTAATACGTCGGCCGTTTCCCACCGAGGCAGGTTGACCCAAAAAGAAAGAAAAAAAATTTCCTCAAAATATTTTAACCATCACTCCAAAATAATCAGTTTTTGCATAATGGTTCAGATACGACAATTTAGACGTCCCTCCAAACTGCCAATATCTTAAACCCCTCCTTTAAAGTGCAGGCATTGTACTTCTCATTTCCAGGACTTAAGTCCGGTTAACCGGACAAGAGTCTCCAACAGCTCGTCATGTCCCAAAAACACGTTCACGCATTCTTGCTGGAAGTCCAAGCCCCTCGCCCACAAACCCTTCTTTACCCTCTCCGTCCAACTTTCTCGGTGACAACCCCTACCCGCCATCCTTCCCCAACAGATTTATATGCTCTCCAAGTTCTATTCTCTTTAAATAACCAAACCACCTCCACAGCCCTTCTTCAGTTCTCTGACTAATACTTTTAGCAACTCCATACCTCCTCCTAATTTCCACACTACGAATTCTCTGCATAATATTTACACCACACATAGATAGCCCTTAGACACGACATCACTGCCTCCAGCCGTCTCCTCACTGAAGCATTTGCAACCCATGCTTCACACCCATGTAAGAGTGTTGGTATCACTATACTCTCGTACATTTCCTTGTTTGCCTCCAGGGATAACGTTCTTTGTCTCCACAGATACCTCAATGCACTACTCACCTTTTTTCCTTCATCAGTTCTATCTTTTACCTCATCCTTCATAAATACATCCACTGACAAGTCAACTCCCAAATATCTGAAAACATTCACTTCTTCCATACTCCCTCCCTCCAATGTGATATCCAATCTTTCTTTATCTAAATCGTTTGATACCCTCATAACCTTACTCTTATCTATATTCACTTTCAACTTTCTACCTTTACACACACTCCCAAACTCGTATACTAACCTTTGCAACTTTCTTCAGAATCATCCATAAGCACAGTATCATCAACAAAAAGTAACTGTATAAACTCCCATTTTTTATTTGATTCCCCATAATTTAATCCCACCCCTCTCCCGAACACCCTAACATTTACTTCTTTTACAACCCCATCTATAAATATATTAAACCACCATGGTGACATTACACATCCCTGTCTAAGACCTACTTTTACTGGGAAGTAATTTTCCTCTCTCTTACACACCTTAACCTGAGCCTCACTATCCTCATAAAAACTCTTTACAGTATTTAGTAACTTACTACCTATTCAATACACTTACAACACCTACCACATTGCTCCATTATCCACTCTATCTAAATCCATAAATGCAATGAAAACTTCCCTACCTTTATCTAAATATTGTTCACATATATGCTTCAATGTAAACACCTGTTCTACATATCCCCTACCCATTCTAAAGCCTCCTTGCTCATCTGCAATCCTGTTCTCTGTCTTCTAATTCTTTAAATAATAACCCTACCATACACTTTACCTGGTATACTCAATAAACTTATTCCCCTATATTTTTTACAATCTCTTTTGTCTCCCATCCTTTTACATAAAGGAATTATACATGCTCTCTGCCAATCTCTAGGTGCCTTCCCCTCTTTCATACATTTATTAAAAAAAAATACCAACCACTCCAACACTACATCCTCCCTGTCCCGCTTTTAACATTTCTGCCATGATCCTGTCAGTTCCAGCTCCTTTACCCCCTTTCATTCTACGTAATGCCTCATGCACCTCACCCACACTCACATCTTGCTCTTCTTCACTCCTAAAAGATGTTATACCTCCCTGGCCAATGCATGAAATTACCGCTTCCCTTTCTTCATCGACATTTAAAAGTTCCTCAAAATATTCCTGTCATCTACCCAATACCTCCAGTTCCCTATCAACTAACTCCCTTACTCTGTTTTTAACTGACAAATCCAGTCGTTCCCTAGGCTTTCTTAACTTGCTAATCTCACTCCATATTTTTTTCTTATTTTCAGCATAATTCTTGACAGTGCTTCTCTCACTCTATCATCTGCTCTCCTCTTGCACTCTCTCACCACTCTCTTCACCTTTCTTTTACTCTCCATATACTCTGCTACCTTTTTCTCTTTTATCACACCATTTACTTCACCATTCCACCAAGCACTCCTCTTTCCTCCTGCACCCACCCTCCTATAGCTACAAACTTTTGCCCTCTTCAACCCTCTTCAACCCCCACACTACTCATACTTGCACTAACCCACCTTTCTACCAATAGTTGATTATGTCTCACCCTAACTTCCTCTTCCTTTAGTTTATACACTTTCACCTCTCTATTACTTCTTGTTGACATTTTCCTTTTGTCCCATCTACCTCTTACTCTAACTGTAGCTATAACTAAATAATGATCCGATTTATCCGTTGCCCCTCTGTAAACATGTACATCCTGAAGCCTACCCATCAACCTTTTATCCATCAATACATAATCTAACAAACTACTTTCATTACATGCTATATCATACCTTGTATTCTTATTTATCCTCTTTCATAAAATATGTATTACTCATTACCAAACCTCTTTCTACATATAACTTTCTACACACACACACACACACACACACACACACACACACACACACACACACCACACACACACACACACACACACAGTAACAAGGGGAGTTGGAAGTTGAAGACACAGATGAATCACAGCGATGTTAGGAAGTATTTCTTCAGCTACAGAGTAGTCAGGAAGTGGAATAGTTTGGGAAGTGATGTAGTGGAGGCAGGATCCATACATAGCTTTAAGCACAGGTATGATAAAGCTCACGGTTCAGGGAGAGTGACCTAGTAGCGACCAGTGAAGAGAGATCAGTGTTTGTGTATATTTCGCCTGCTCTTGCGAATTCCTTGCATAATATATATATATATATATATATATATTATATATATATATATTATATATATATATATATAAATTATATATATACACATATGTCGTGCCAAATATGTAAAACTTGCGATCTTGGCTTAAATAGCAACGCTCATCTTGCCATATAGGACAAGTGAAAATTTGTGTATGCAATAATTTCGCCAAAATCATTCTGAACCTAACGAAAAAAATATATTTCACTGTGTTTGTTTAGTATTAAATTATTGTAAACAAATCTAAAATATATTTAGTTGCGTTAGCCTAAATTAATTGCTCTTGTTATAATAAGGTTAGGTAAGTTTTCTAAGATTCTTTTGGTGCAAAATTCAAATTTTTTACATTAACATTAATGAAAAAAATATATCTTTAAACGTATAAGAGAAAATTTTAGAAAGGAATTAATTTTAAATGAGTTCTTGCTAATTAACCAGTTTTACATATTCGGCACGATATATATATATATATATATATATATATATATATATATAAATATATATATATATATATATATATATATATATATATATATATATATATATATAATATATATATTTTATTTTTTATATATTTGAGTAACAACACTGTGCTAGCCAAGGATTCGAACCTAAGTTGTACTGGCGTGCCTCATGGTAAGCGAGAACCACATGACGCTTTAAGCCACAGGGCCACCCAACCTTGTTGGGTGGTCCTCTGGTTTAAAGCGTCATGTGGTTCTCGCTTACCATGAGGCAGGCCAGGACAACATGGGTTCGAATCCTTGGCTAGCACAGTCTTGTTATTGATCAATACCACTCGTTCGTGGTTACAATAATATATATATATATATATTTTATATATATATATAATATATATATATATATTATATATATATATATAATATATATATAGCAGTGGAACATTGAATACGAGTGTCCCAACTTGCGAGTCTTTTAATACGAGCCGTCCCTGGGTCGATTTTTTGCTCTGAGTTAGGAGCCAGCTCATCCCTCCCACTTCCCCTTCAACCCATGATTTCATGCTTTAATTCCATGGAAATCATTCTCTTTTTCTTGTCAGTAATAATAATAATAATATAATAGTAATGATAATATAATATTATTACAGTCAAGTCGCTCAGTAAGTCAATCAAGTCACTCAAAAAGTCAGTCAAGTCACTCAGTAAGTCAGTCATTCAGTAAGTCAGTCATTCAGTCACACAAACTCATGTTAACCTCTTTTTCTGTGTACAAACTAACACTTCAGTTACGGCTACAGGTTATCTCTTGTCTAATATTTTTGTTAATTCTAAGACTTAAGTGCTTATACCTCTTCATGCCACTTTCAGCAACACTGGTATATCTACTGGGTGCCACTTTCAGCAACACTGGTATGGCGACTGGGTGCCACTTTCAGCAACACTGGTTTTTTGGCCTAGGTTTTTAAAATTTTTTTGGGCAAAACTTTTTTCTTAACTTTGTTACTTTAAAACGGTATGGGAAATTTGGGTTTTTTTTTAAAATTTTTGGTATTCCTTTTATTTTGGGTTT